GTGCCATAACTTTTTCAAAAATATATGGATCAATATAATTATTTTTTATATAGATGCATAATATCATTACCTTTCATTTGGTATATTTTTTTTATAAATTTAACACATAAACTGCCCACAAGGGAGGATTTTNTATCAATATAATTATTTTTTATATAGATGCATAATATCATTACCTTTCATTTGGTATATTTTTTTTATAAATTTAACACATAACCTGACCACAAGGGAGGATTTAAAATGACAACTTTTTCAACTTANATAAAAATGCATATAGAAAGTAGAACTTTTTCAACGTAACTTTTGAAAGTGTTCCGGAAGGTCTGACACTTTTATATATATCTTAAATTAAAGCTAATGTAATATACTTTATCATGAAAAAAAAAATTTCGGACTTTATTTTGTCTTCATGGTGAAAATGGCTACCAAATGCTATTTTTGTGTGAAAATTCTCGATTTTATTTTTTACATTTTTAACTTTATAATGCTAAAACTTATTGAAAAGTGTATGGATCATTACAATTTTTTTATGAGAAGTAGTATTTATATAGATCTTTCATTCGACATACTTTTTTTTTAAATCAGATCATATCCCTATATACGGAGGGGCTTAAAATATTAAAAATGCATATAGAAAGTAGAATTTTTTCAACTTAACTTTTGAAAGTGTTCCGGAAGGTCTGACACTTTTATATATATCTTAAATTAAAGCAAATGTAATATACTTTATAATGGTAAAAAAAAATTTCGGACTTTATTTTGTCTTCATGGTGAAAATGGCTACAAATGCTATTTTTGTGTGAAAATTCTCAATTTTATTTTTTACATTTTTAACTTTATAATGCTATAACTTATTGAAAAGTGTATTGATCAATATATTTCATTTTACGTTATCAATTTTAAATATGAGTACACTGCAATTCGTATAAGCGGAACTAAGATCATTTTTTAACAAATATGCATGGACTTCAATTAATTTTTTGATTACCCGATAATATTTTCAAAAATAATAATAATATCAAACAATTTATCATTTTGGTTAACTGACTTTAAAAAATCATTTCATTTTAAATGATTACAAACTACTCAGTAGTCATACTTACAGATACACTTACTGTTAACTAAAAGTATAAAGGTAACCTATATATTTTACATTTTATTTATGTTGAGTTTTAGCCATTTGAATAATTATTTAAAAATACGGTATCACGTTACAGACATTTTTTATGTTAAAAAATTACAAAAGAGATGTATTATTTTTAAATTATCGTAACCGCCACTAATCGTTTATATTACCAATTTACTCTAAGTAAAGTCGTTCTGTGAATTAGGTGTGAATTTGCAATTGTTTAATCATCTGTTATCATATTGAGTTATTACGTTTTTTCTCATAATAAATTATTTATTATAATTAACAGCGTATACTTAAAATTCGTCGGCGGCAACCAGAAGGTTATCGTGCAAATCGGATAATAAATAATCATCTACACCTCAAATCGACGGTTAAAACTAAAATATGTATTTCTATATGATAAAAATAATTAAATTAAATAACATCGACTAATAAAATGTGTAATAAACAATTTTTTTTCTCGTTGATCACGTTGTCCATAAGGATTTCTTTCTATCATTTCCATTTGATTTTGTTTTTTGGTAATTTATTGTACTCAATTATAACTAATGGCATAGCTAGATTTTCATGATAGGGACTTTTTTTTTTGCTCATTGATAAATTTTAAAAATGAATATTGCTGTTAATGAAAAAGTGAGTCCCTTGACTACTACACAGATTTCAACATATTAATTTATATTTTGAAAATTTTAAAATATTTTTGTAAAAATTATTCCAATGGGACCAAAATAACTAGTTTTTCAGGAATAATAACTAAGGATTAGTATTTTTCATTCTATTAATTTTATTGTCATAAAAAAACCTTTAGTTAAAATATTAGAGCAATGAAACAGAAAAATAGTTATAAAAGATAATAATTAGTAGAAACTACAAGTGTTATAATTATTAGATAGAATTATTTTATTATTCAAAAAAAATGGAACAAAACCCAGCACAAGGGGGTCGCGGCACAGTGATGACGTGGCATAGTTGGATCAAATATAATGATATCTGACAGTGATTAAAATCACTATAAAAAAAACGCTTCGATGCAAATCTTTAGATAGTGTTTAATTTTAAAAAATTGGTGTATTATTCCAAAAGCTACATGATCTGCTAGTTCCTTATTAATATCCTGATTAAGATAATGTATGTCGAATGAAAAAGGGATTATTAAAAAATATTATTTCTCATAAAAAAAATTGTGTTGTTCTATACACTTTTCAATNCATAAAAAAATAATGTTGTTCTATACACTTTTCAATAAGTTTTAGCATTATAAAGTTAAAAATGTAAAAAATAAAATCGAGAATTTTCACACAAAAATTGCATTTGGTAGCCATTTTCACCATGAAGACAAATAAAAGTCCGAAATTTTTTTTTTCATGATAAAGTATATTACATTAGCTTTAATTTAAGATATATATAAAAGTGTCAGACCTTCCGTGTCAGACCTTCCAAAACACTTTAAAAAGTTAATTTTTTGTGAAAAAGTTGTCATTTTAAATCCCCTCCTGTGGGCAGGTAAAGGTTCAGATATGAAAAAAAAATATACCAAATGATAGGTAAAGACATCATGCATCTACAAAAAAAAGAATTATATTGATCCATACATCTTTCGAGAAGTTATAGCATTATAAAGTTAAAAATATAAAAAAGAATTTTTTTACAAAAATCGTATTTTTTTTATTAAGTTTAATGTCTGTTTTCACCATGAAGATAAAATAAAGTCCGAAATTTTTTTTTACCATTATAAAGTATATTACATTAGCTTTAATTTAAGATATATATAAAAGTGTCAGACCTTCCGGAACACTTTCAAAAGTTACGTTGAAAAAGTTCTACTTTCTATATGCATTTTTATGTTTTGAATCCCCCCTGTATTTAGGGAAATGGTCCGATTTAAAAAAACAGTATGTCGAATGAAAGATCTATATAAATACTACTTCTCATAAAAAAATTGTAATGATTCATACATTTTTCAAAAAGTTATAGCATAATAAAGTTAAAAATGGAAAATACAAAATCGAAAATTTTCACACAAAAATAGCATTCGGTAGCCATTTTCACCATGAAGATAAGATAAAGTCCGAAATTTTTTTTTTTCATAATAAAGTATATTACATTAGCTTTAATTTAAGATATATATAAAAGTGTCAGACCTTCCGGAACATTTTCAAAATTTAAGTTAAAAAAATTAATTTTTTTTGAAAAAGTTGTCATTTTAAATCCCCCCTTGTGGGCAGGTTAAGGGTTAAATTTATGAAAAAAATATACCAAATGAAAGGTAATGATATTATGCATCTATATAAAAAAGAATTATATTGATTTGGTTATTTTTAAAAAAGTTATAGCAATTTTAAGTAAAAAAAATTGAAAAAATTTCGAAAATTTTTAAATTTGTAATTTTTTTGGAGGTTTCCAGTTTCCCCCTTTTACGGGGAACGAGGGAATTTTTTTCAATTTTTAAGGGTAATGTCTTCGACTAGATACGATTTGTGATCTTTTGACGTATCGTTGAAAGAAATCCGTTCGGTGAGAGCTGAGAAAAAGTGGTAACAAACACAAAAAAAAAATTTTTTTAATTAAAAAATTAAAAAAAAAAACACATCCAATACCATCTCAGCTTCGCATCGAAGATAAAACACTTTTTCTATGACTAGGGTATGTTACTATGATTCGGTTTTAGTTTTACTTATAAAATTTAAATGATTATTTGGCTAATGATCGGTACTAATTTAAGGGTTTGTGTAATCTGTTTATCTTTAAATTGTATATATATGTACATGTATTGTATACATGAACACATGTTATAATAAATAATAAGCCTAATAAATAGGTGAACTATTTCCTATAATTCTCAATTAATATTTTTTTAATATTTAATAATCTTATAATATTATATAAAAATAAGAATTAATATACATTTTTTATATTTATGTTATACATACTGAGTTATAATACTGAATACTAATAGTATTAATCTAAAATAAAAAACGTTCATGTAATTGCTATAAATACATTATTTTATAGCTTTCAGTCAATTATATACTGTTGCTATTAGTAGGCAATCAGCCAAACACTCAAGATGAAAGAAATTTATATTTTAAGTATCGTTTTTCTGATTGGACTGTTACAGAAGGATTTAGAAAAAGAAATCAGAAAAATAGCCGACAAACAAGCAGAACTCAGTACAGAAATTCAGTCTACAAGGAAAGATATAAGCTTTGGATTCGAACGACACAATTCTAGTCAAATTGTTTTTCATAAACAATTACAGGTACTAGAATTTTGAGTTTATAAATTTTATTCAAATACCTAACTTATCTAGTTTTTTTTTATTTCTCATTGAATCTACTTTACTAAAAAATAAATAATGTATGTCTTTTTAAATCTAACAAGCTAATAAACAAAATGATTTATGTCAATAGAATTTTAAATGTCAACGTCTTTTCTCTGTCAATGTACTTTGCGTGAGATAATCGTGAAAAAAATCATTTATCAATATTTTGAAGTTAAATATCAGCTATGTTTTATATCTTAGTATTTCTAGTATGCAATACGCTCATATAAATGTATTTTAGGATCTCATTATAATTAAGTAAACCGACAACCGTCTAGACAAAACTCACAAAGAAGAGACGTCTGTGACACGGTCACTACTTTAGAATTCCAAATTCGTACTTGAATTTATTTTAAGATCACTCGACGTTAATTCCAGTGGCATAGCCAGGATTAATAGTAATGTAGGGAGGACATAGTAAAAAAATATACAAAATATTATTTAAAATGGAAGGATCCCGGGCTCCTTCGCGTCCCGACAACGTTAAATCTGTTATTTTTATACTTATTAACAATATTTGGAATTTAATGATTAAACTAATACATAAACATTATTTTTAATTATATATACAAAAATGTTTTTGAAATTATTTAATACATTTTTATATTTACTTTAAGATGAAATATTTTTATTACAGTCTGAATCAATATTACAAGGCTAACTCTAAAAGAAATTTATTTTTTTTATAAAATATTAGTTGAAAAAATGTAAAAGAAAAATTTTGTAGACTAATTTATGACAAATGTTAAACATTTCATTTATACTCATTCAGTCTTGATTTGTTAGGCTCGCATTTAATAATTAATCTCCTTTTATTGGACTTATTTTTCATTTAAGGATACAGTAACTAATTTTACTCAACAGTCAAAAATCACCGACAAAACATTAAATGCTTGCCAATGCAATCAAAATGACGATCCTGCTCAGAGTACAGAAATCATGTCTAACAGTAAACTTATATCGACGGTAACTAAAACATATTTAAAGTAAAACAATTTACTATTTTTAATTAACAATCTTAAATTAAATCCTGTGGTTACATAAAATATATCAACGTATTAACTTAAAATAAGAGTTCTTCTTTTGAATAAAGTTATTAAATGCATATTTCTATGAATAGAATCATGCACATTAATATTGTATTATAAGCTAATAAGCAGCTTAGGACATAAATCATAAAAGGCTACTTTAAAAAAGAGAAATTTTTTTAAAAATTAGATGAACAGTATGATCAATGGACTAAAAGACCGTTCAGACGATATACATGTATTACTCAAAGAATTGGTAGAAAGTACAGAAAAGTATCGTAGAAGATTAGACTATGACCGACAAGATGTGATGAATGAGTATTTGGATAGTAAGGAAACTATTTTTTCATTAATATTTATTAAGCATTTTATTCGTTTTGTTTTCACTTTTTGAGGGTAAACAATTTTTGTACAGTTGTTAAAAGTTTTTTTAATTTTTCCGTTAAACTTTAGTTACTCTGAATAATTGTTTTATCTATTTCAACGATGTTTAAAATGTCAGCCACCAGTGATCAATTCTTGTTACATGTAAACAATATCTAACTATTTTAGATTTCATGGAAAATTTGATTGGTGAAATTGTTTTGATTCAAAAAAAATCTGATAACGAACTAGAAATTAAACTAAAAGAACAACTAAGACTGTTACTAGATGGTCAGAACTTATTCATTAATAACTGTCGAAGAATACAACTGAATGAACATCAAATAGAAGATGACATAATTCAGATACTAGAAAGAATATTTGACCAAATCGATATTAAGTAAAAATATTTGTTTAATTGCCATATTTAAAAAATGTATAAGTATAAGAATAATAAGGTAACTTGAATCATTCTTCTTGAAATATGTATTATTAGTTAGTGTAAAAAAAAAAGTAATTATAGCAAAGAAAAATTTCGTTTAGATAGGAAGAAAAAATTATCTCTGTTATAACCCCCTCATAATATATTGCGAGATCAATTTTTAAAAGGGAATACAAGCAAAACTATTTGACTGACTGTCTGACTTCTAAAAATTTAATTTTAATATTAAATAAAAAGTTCTTTTGGTCGACACAGGTAACTTTGGGGGCAAACTATTCCTTTTTTCCTTTAATTACTTCCATGAACGCACTATTTACACTACTAATAATATACTATAATTTTTTTTGTGCTATATTTATGTACTTTTTTAGGTAATCTGAAAAATAATTTAAGGTGGGGTTATTTTTAAAAACTATATTTTATCTTTAGTTAAGTAAAACTACTTAATTATAAATTAGTTAATATATTTTTTGAATCTTTGTTCTCTATTTATAAGAAAAAAATGTTCACTCTTAATACTGGTATATTTGAACTTCGTTTGGTAAAAAAAATAAAACGCTCAACAAAAATAACAAAAAATTAAATTATAAATAATTTTGATATAAAACTTTTAATTGTAGATCGAATTGTGTCGTCTGCAATATTTAAATAAACAAATAAAATCAATTTTAACTATTACGATAAAAATGTTGATTTTTTAATTTTTATGCCTAACATTTATAGATATGGGTTTTTTTTTTAAACATTTTTTAAAGCAAGCAATTAGTTTTATCATTAAGTTTAATAAATAATTATTAAATTCTATCATTAATAGAATCTTTCATTCAATCATAAGTTTTTATCGTTCAATCATTTTCTCTGGAAATAGCGTAATTTTTAATACATAATGAAAATCTAAAAACTATCCATACAATCGAATTCTCAATTTTTATGAAATTTTGAAATTAATTTAAAACATTCCCTAGAATTGTTCCATTTGGTAAAACTAACTTATAGAGAAGTATTAGCCATAAGTGATCAATTCTTATTACATTCTAAATATTACTAAATTTACGATATTTAGGATCAGAATGTTTCGTTCTTAAAATTGAAGTACTTTAATACATGACCATTTTCTGATTGAACATGTTAATTTGTCAAATAAGGTCCGCTAAGTAAATAAATTATTGAGATAAATAAATAAATATATTTTTGTTTTAATTTATTTTTAAAAATTAAGCTCCCTGAAATTATTTTTCATATTACATAAAACAGTACATAAATATATTACACAAAAAAAACCGATTTTAATTTAATTAAAATTTTGAATCAATAATTTAATAACTAAAGGTGTATCAAAACATATCTTTATGTAAAAATTAATTTAAAAAGTACTTATACTTTTTAATACTGTTTTTTCTTTTAATATTTAAGTAAATTCTTCTGTGAAAAATAATTTCAGTTAGTATAATTTTTAATAATTGATTTTTATTATCCTTAGTAACATAAAACTACTCGATTAAAAATTAATAGATTTATTTTGTGTAACAGAGTTCTATAGTTGTAAGAAAAATTCTTTTGCGCATTTATAATCGAATATTTGAACAACGTTTGATAAAAAAAAAAACGCACAACAAAATGTTCGTTTGCAAAAATTAAATAAATGAATAATACCGATTTCAACGTGTTAAGATGTATTATTTATTTGATTTTTATGGCTAAATATTATAGATAAGTTTTTTTTCGGCAAACATTTAACTCCAGGGGTGGACTTAGGTATGTGGTGGCCCCTGGGCGGAATGCATTGTGGGGATACATAAACAAGGAAATATATTTTTTACTTATTAAATAACAATTATCATATTTGTGATACCAATGTATACCAAATTTGTGGGGGCCCTTGAGCTGCAGCCCACTCAGCCCTCCCTTAAATCCGGCCCTGTTTAACTCTATAATTTTTTCTGGAAATAACATAGTTTGTAAAATATTTGATGAAAATTGAAAAACCACACTTACTGTCGACTTTTCAAACCTGCCGCATGTGTTAAGGTCACTTAAATTATATACAATGATTTTTTTACAATAAATACTTCATTTTTAACAACCGTCCTAGAATATTACACTTTATTATATCACCTATTTCTTGTGAAAATATCAAATAATAATTATTGAAAAAGCTAAATTTTGTTTTTTTGGTAAATACAATTTTAAAAATGGCTTCAATTCACTTCCTATCAGGGTTGTTAAAAAACATATTTTTTAGAAAAAAAAACCTGTTTAAAACATATATAAACCGTTTTAAATGTCTTATATGGTTAATATAAGACATTTATTTTAACAAAATAAAATATTTGATACATAAAAATATTTTTTTGAAGCAGTGTTGCAAAATTTGAAATACAAAATATCTCTATAATATTTATAATAACTAATACAACATTTCTCTACGTTCTCACTTTTATAATATTTTTTGTGCATTATAGAAATACCGCTGATAATTCTACTTTAGAGCAAATATTTAAAACTATGAAAGCCCAAAAGAGCTGGGAGGAAAAAAGATTTGAAGAAATTTCTGAACTCAGTAAATTGCAATCTGATCAAATGGTTCGTACCGTTGCGTATTCTACCAATCAAGTTATGAAGTTGCATCAGGACATATTGAACATAACAAATATTTTGATGGAAACCAACAACAATACAACGGTGTTTTATCAAATGGTATGTAGTTAATATTTTATAAATGAAAATGTCAAACCATTATGGTCTCATATTATTTTGTGAAAATAATTTTTAATAATAAATTGATAGTAAAAGAATCATTAGCATACCTTTTGGTATTACCTTTAGTGTCCCGGCAATACTAGCCAATTGTGGGCATTAACTTGTTAACTAGTAAATTTCAACTTAACTAATTAATTATTTTTCTAATAAACTTTTTAATTCAACTAATTTAATTTTCTGTTGAATTAATTTAGCTTTTTTCAGTTAATTAGTTAAAATAACGGTTAAACTAAATTCAATATTTCATAAAATAATTATGTCTTTATACGCTGTGTACGTGGTTTAATTTTAAAGAAATGGAAATTTCCCCCCCCAAATATATTTATATAACAATAATTATAATTTTCTTGATTTTTTTAAAAATATATAAGATTTTTAACTGATTTTTTTTAATAACTAGTTTTAAAGATAAAACAGTGAAACTAACACAGAAACCTACAAAACGAATAAAAAAATGTTTTATTATTATTAATACTTTTTTCCTAAATTTAAGTTATATGATAGGCTAGGAACAAAGGAAGGCGAAAAAGAAGTTTATAGACTTGCAAGAGTAAGAGCAAAAAAGTCTAAACATTATCACTATGTAAGGTATATAAAAAGTGTTGATAATAGGGTGCTATCGAGGGATGATGTGAAAAAAGTAATTTGAAAATGAGATATTTATCAATAATAATAAAATAATTTTTTCTGACACTTATTTTGAAATATTTTTTTTTTGCGACCCTCATTTTATTGATATTTATAAAACAAAACTATGAACTTTATGAACTTAGAAATACACAATTATATTAAGCTGAGCTCCTTGAATTTCTGAAAACGACTTTAGAAAGGACGTCTAAACAATAAGTATTGATGAGTATATCCAGTTGATAAAGTTACTTACATCTGGATTAATTATTTTTTATTATTGAAAGACGAGTCATTAAAAAATGAACAATTTCATTGTACCCTTAATTTGGCAAATATAGAAATATTAAGATGCGCTAATACGATAGAAATTTTTCTTCTTCTTCTATTGCAGTATTCGATCTAATGATTGGTTTGTAGCAACTTCCATGTTTCTCTATCACTAGCCTTCCTCTTCGACTCTTGATATGAATTACATCCTTGATCTTCTATTATATGACTTATGTATTGCAATCTTCCTCTATGATTTTTTCCATCGATTATTCCTTCTAAGATTAATAATAGCAACCCTTCGTGTCTTTAAGTATGACCTATTAATTCATTTCGCTTTTTCTGTATACTCTTCCATATTAATTTCCTCTCAGGTACCCTTTCTAAAACTTTTTCATTAATAATTCTATCCGTCCAACTTATCTTTTCCATCCTCCTGTAGCACCACATTTTGAATACCTCAATTCTTGTCATTTCTTCTCTTTCAATAGTCCATGTGTCCGCATTCATATACTATGATCCTCCAGATATACATTTTTAGTACATTCTTCCTAATATTAAGATTAATGTTTTTTGAAGTAAAAGACTTCTTATCTTCTTAATTGCCACCTTAGCTTGGGATATTCTCCTTATAAATTCCTTTTATGCAATTCCTATATGAGCTTATAGTGCTACCCAAATATATGAAATCTTCGGCTTGTTCTACAGTTTCATCGTCCTTTAATTTTATTCTTATTCTTATGTTATTATGTTTGTATAATAAAATTCAATAGAAATTAAAGATGAGTTATAAATATGATTTTTTCGTTTACAATTTATACGTTTAATTAATTTTCAAATAATACATCAGTGTTTTCGTAATAAGAAGAATAAATAAATACAATTAAACAAATTTATACTTTGTTTTGATTTTCTACTGAATTTTTTATATTACCCTTTATTTCAGGGAAATAATAAATGTAACAGCAGCCGAATATATCATTCAGAATTAAAAAATGAACTACAAGATAAAATACAAAAGAAAATAACTTTACAGACGACCAAAATTCCAGACGCAAATGTCAATAGCACAAGAATAATAGATCCAATGGTTAATAATTAACAATCTATACAATAATATATAGTTACGATATTAACGCAATATAAAAATATCGTAAGTAATGTAAATGGTTTATATATATACGCAGAGTAATCGGTTTAATATGTACCACTCAATTAATAGCAAAATAAATATAATATTAAAAAAAAAATTTTGATTTATTTTAGTTGCATATATTTCTTTATTAGTTAATAATTATATTTAGAATTATCTCATATAACTTATAAGAGTGTTACTTTATTTTTTCAAGTAGCAACCTTCATAATTAACTAACTTATTAAATAGATAATGATCTAATGAAGAAAATGACTGGTCGCTAACAACTTTCGGACAAAAATTTTAAAGGTATTTTCATTTTTATACCTTAGATTGAGGAAAAATACGTCTACGAAATGATTAGTAAAAAAAAATAACACCCAATAAAATGTTAATAACTTCTAAAGTCCTGGTCCTAAAGTTGTTACCGAACAGTCATTTTCTTAATTAGATCATTATCTATTAAATAAGCTGGTTAATTATGTAGATTTATATTTAAAAAAATTAAGTTGACACTCCAATAAGTTATAAAATATGATTCCAAATATAATTATTAACTAATATATCAAGATATATATGCAACTAAAACAAACCATAATTATTTCTTCAATATTGTAATTACTTTGCAAGTAATTGAGTGGTACATGATAAATCGATCATTCTATATATATTTAATTATACATGTTTTAAGTACTTCATGTATTTTAACTATTAAAAATAAGAAAGTTGTAGACTTTAATAGACTAATTTTTTAAAGTATAATAATTCAAATAAAATTTTCTAAGTTGGTTTCCTTATAATTTCTGAGCTAACCCATTTTGCTCTATACAAAAATTAGTAAGGTAAAAATCATTTTTCTACATTAAACAATGATTTATATTTTAAATTGATTCTTCTGAGAATTTAATATTATGTTTTGTATTATCACTCCACAATGTACTGTTTTTATTGGTTTATCAGTGCAAAGCTGAGAATATTTAGATTAGATGTTCATAACTTAAATATAAAAATCATCATATAATAGAAGATAAAAATTTAAAAAAATACAGTCCATTTATTTTAAATCTAAAATTAAATAAGTTTTTTAAAATTAATAACTCTAAAAAAATCAAGGTAATATAAAAAAAAATCGAGATTTATTTAATTATATAATTAAAACCCAATTAGTAAATCAGTTAAATATAATATACAAAGCAAATTAACTTAAAATTAAAACACAGTTATGAACTAATGGATTATAGTACATCAACTATAAATTACAGACGTTATACATAAAAAATACCTTAATATTACAAGTACAGAATAGATTTAAGAATGGATATATGGAAAAGATTTGTCAAGTAATGTATATGGGTGGCAAGTCTTTGTTTACCAATATAATTATGCAAACATATTGAGCAAAATAATATATCATCTTAAAGAAAATAGATATGGGTCACTATGATAGAGATCCAAGGTGGAGTATGTAAAATATAAACATGCAGAGGAGATCTTAATTTATACTATGGTAAAAATGATTACCCAAATTATGGTTCTGGTAACTGTTCTAACAAAAACTACCTAAATGGTTAACTGTACCGAAACTTAAATTTGTAATTTCTAATTAGGAATGTATTTAATCTTCTAAAAACTTGCAATACTGTTTGTTGTAACATTAACATTGTCTAAGACTTCATGATACAAATACAGATTTGTATACAATAAAATTCAATTCTGCAAAAAAAAAAGAAAATAATAATAATAATAGTAACAAACATTTAATATTTGTTTTAAAATATACAACTTAGGTTCAACCAGATTATAAAATAAAGATAAGTTAATTATCAACTAAATAGCTAAAAATGATATCTATTTTTGATTCTTTGTTTTCTTATAGTAATCACCAAAATTTCAAAAAATTAAAATTTTTATTTGTAAAATAATTCAATTCTTTAATTTAAACCATTTCAAGTAGGGAAAATAACTTAGTTAAGAAAAAAGTTTTCATAATTAAAAAAAAAAAAAAAATCATTTGTGACAATATTTAATTATACAAAATTAAATAAATCAATAGCACTTGGCAATACTAAATGTACTTAAAAGTAAATGAATAAGATAAATTTACTATAAAAATCTGACAATAGTTTTTCTAAAAGATGAAATATTTCTGTTTTAATTGGTTTTTTTTATTGCTTTTGAGATTCTGAATATTGAAACTGAATATTATTTATTTAAGCTTTTTTACTTATTTTTAATTAATTTGAAGTAAAAAATATACATGCAGTATTGGTTGAAAAAATAATTATTTGTTCCCACTAAATCATTAACAGGATATTTTCACTAGTAATTTTAGTAAAACATTCTTATTATTTTATAAAATATACATATTTTAATAAAAAAAAATGTTTAATATTACTTACAATTAAAGTTGTATGGGTACCACAGTCAATATAAATTTTATTTGTTAAAGTATGGGTGTTTTAAAGCATTTCTCGCTGTCACTCTTTTAGTACTGTCAAACATCAACATATCCTGAAGTTAAAATTATGTTAGTATTAGTACTAGTATTGATATTTAGTATTAAAGGATATAAATATGTTATAAATGTTTATTTAAGTTATCAACTAGAAGCTTAGTTTGACTCCTTTTAAATTAGTTGAACTGAAGAATACTAGGGAAATAATTGAGTAAAGGTTTCCAATTACTAATGGGAAATCACTGTGCTAAAGATAATGGACCAATACCTTCTGCACTAAGGACAGGTAGTTTTTTGTCACAAAAAAACTGTTTAATGGTTATTAATATATTAGCAATAATAACAGACATAACTTAACATTAGAGATTTTTAGTAACTAGGGCCAAGAACCAAAAAAATAAATTTGGTTTTTGGTCTTATATCCAGTAAAATTTAATTCATCTATATCAAACTTTATTCTATTATGTTGAAAAATGTATTACAAAAACCAAAAATATTATGAAACTGCCTTTGAAAAACTTAATATTGTAATTCTTTTGTGAGTAATTGCGCAGTTTATGATGATAAACCGATCACCCTATATATAAAGTTAAATTGTTAAAATTATACAATACTCAATTATTTTGAGAATGATAAACAAAAACAATACAAATCAATATAGTAATTGTTTTTTAAAATCATATAAGATCATTTTATATTAAAATTGAGGTTCTGAAAACTAATTTTATCTATAGAATAGAAAACTATAATAGAGTCAAAAAAATTAGAATAATTATTTATAAATAATATACTGTAAGTAAATCAGCTCCATCAGAACATAGTTCTGGAATAGCAGTATTTAAACTAATTTGTGGGTAAGATTCAAAGGAACTCCTCATTAAAGAAACATTTTTGGGCCAATTTATGGCTGAAGGCAGTCCAATTAACCTATAAAAACAAAAAAATAATACTAATTCTTAATAAATCCATTTAATTAATAAAATATATTATTTTATAAAAATAATAATTTTCACCTAAATATTCGGTCAAGTTGTTCAGCCTCAGATTCTCCATTAAAAAGTGGCGCTAACTGATACATTTCTCCCATTATGCACCCACAAGCCCAAATATCAACTGCAGTTGCATAAGGTAACCCTAATAAAACTTCAGGTGCACGGTACCATAAAGTAACCACCTTTCATATAAACAAAAATAAATTTAATCAAACATTTTAGAAGACAAAAAATAAAACAAAAAATTTAATTATAATATTGAAAATAAAAATATAAAGATTTTTTTTAACACTTTCACAATTACTTTTGTTAAAATTACATTAACACAATATGATATACACTTACAACTGAGGTTAATTTCATATCAAAATCATAAATCTTAGCTAATCCAAAATCAGCTATTTTGATTCTAAGATCACTAGATACTAGAACATTTTGAGGTTTAAGATCTCTATGAACAACTCTGTTACAATGCAGAAAATCTACACCTGATAATATTTGCCGCATAACACTCTAAAATTAAATGAAAATGTTAGTTTTTTAAATTTATATTATTAGTTCTTATTTTTATTTCATATATTAAATGATGTGTGTTTTAATTAATAATTATACACACTGAATAATTATATTTTAAATAAAAATGGCATTAAAAAACTAAAATACAATAAAGGGTTTACAATTTGAATAGAATTTAAGGTAAAATATTTATTTAAAACTAATATACTAAAATTTCATATTAAACTGAAGTAAATTGATCATTTAATTTAATATAAAAAAATTACTATATTTTTATAAAAAGTTAAATTTGCTTTTAAACAAAATGATTCTAATAGAAAATCAAGAAAACAATTATCTAATTCACTTTCTAAATTGAATATATTAAATGTGTAAAAATTGATTAGCTAATAACCCAGAATCATCATTTTATTACTTTTAATAGTGTACGTCTCCAAATACTATAATGGTAAAATTTAAAAGTAAACCTATATTAGACAACTCTTCTATGACTACATTTGTGACCAATAGATGTAAACTTACTATAACCTATAATAAATTATAACTATATTTTCTTAATTATTCTTTATGAAAGAATAATGAAATTGTATTATTAACATCACTAATATGTCAAGCTAATCTTATCAATTTATGATAATTTTATGAAAATAAATAATAGCTGTGAATAGATGTAAGAACAAAAGTTACCTTTATAATTTCTGAAGACATTCCTGGTTTAGGACATCTTATCATATATGTAGCTAAATCTTGTTCAATATGTTCAAATACTAAATATAAAGTCATACATTTCTCATTATACAATCTTGGACCATGCACAACATCTAATAACCTTCAATGGTCAAATAAATAAATGAAACGATAATTTAAAAAAAAAAAATCAACTAGAAAATTTTTTTTGTACATAAAAAATAATGATACCTAGAAATTTGGAGAAACCTGATTTAAAAATGTAAAAATAAAGCAATTTGGTAAAAATTTAATCCTCAAAAAATTACAACACTAATAATTGATTTACAACATTCACTATATTCTTGAAAGTAATATACTAACTTGACAATATTGGGATGCTCTTGTTGGTCAAGTTGCTTAAGTAAAGCAATTTCACGGAGAGTTGACATAGGTACACCATCTTGAGCTAGAGGAATTTTAATTTTTTTCATGGCTACAAATTTTCCTTTATTTACAAGATCCCTGCCTTTGTAAACAGTTCCATACGCTCCTTAATATATAAAAATTTAATTTAATAAGTAGAAAATTGTACTATTTTAGTACAATAAGACTCAACTTTTCTAACATTTTGATAGAACTCCAAAACAAATTGATAGAACTACAAGAAGCTGTTTTCATTAGACAAGTTATTGTAGTTATATGATAATCAAAGTGCTATATTAAGGAGAATTTAAAGAATACAACCCTTTACAAAATATTATATCTAGAATATAATATATAATTTAAGACATAATATTAAGCTATGGAAAAATTCATACTTGGGTTACCTTAGGGTAATACAAATAAATTTAATATACAAGGTGACTTTTTTATCATAACTCACTAAATTACTCTCAGAATAAAACAATGTTAAACTTTTTTTTTTTTTTGTTACTTTTAGTTACATATTATTCTTGAATTATTAGCCATGTAATACTTTTTAAGTTCATACTTTATGTCATTCAATGGAATCAACTTTGTTTTTTTCAAATGGGAACATATATTTTGGATTTAATAAAATGTTTGAAGTTTATTTCAATAATAAATTATATTTGATTTATCAACATATTACAAATAACTAGTTATTAAAAAAAATGTATCTAATAGACATAAAACTTTTAAGTTTTGAATTTTTGAATCAATGTACATGTATAATATACGAGGGATTACAAATACAGGTAGCTAATTTCTTTTTCACAAAGACGCAATTCATAAATATATAGTGTTTATTGTCAATAATGAGTTTATCAACATATATACTTAAAGTATATTAGTAATGCATAATATTGTGAGTTAACATATATAAAAACATCAATTGACAATACAGAAAGCATATAAGTCGATAAACTCATAATTGAGTGTATATCTATGAATAGTGGCATGATAATAAAGCAATTTGCTACCTGTATTTGCAATCCCTTGTATATTATCTCAAAAGTATAAATCTTTAATTTTTTATATCTTACAAATATATGAATTTATGTTAAAAATTTAAATGTCATTTATTATATAATTAAAACCTCAACATAAGTGTTCTCATTTGAAAAAAATAAAGTTAATACCCTACAAGACATAAAGGAATACTTAAAAAGTATTATATAGCTAATAATTAAAAAACATGTAACAGAAATAAAAAAAAAAATGTCAAGAATTTTCTTTTCTTTCTATGAGTAATCGAGTGGGTTATGATAAAAGTTACTCTATATATGCAAGAATTTACAATCCCAGACTATAATATATCCAATATTAAATACCATTTCCAATTTGGTTGAGTTCTTCATAGTTTTCTTTCTCTTGCAACATAGATGACATACCCGGGAAAGTCTTAGTTTGCATTCTAGATAAAGGAGATACCATGACTAAAAAAATAATTAAAAAAATTATTAATTGAATCCTATTTATTAATTTTTATAAATTTTTTTGAAAAATTTTTATTTATTCGTCCTTGACATTAATATAAACACACTACATATTATCCTTAAAACCACCTGTCGATATGTTTTGCATGAAACTATTAACTTACCCAAGCATTCTATATAAAGATATTCTTCATGTAATCAATCAAAAATTACTAATCTGAAATCTACAAAATACTACCAACAACACTGAAACAGCACTTACTTGAACTTGATTTTTAGTATCCCTCAGCAGTGCAAACCTATCGTTCCACAGCTAATTTCCGGTAGATTCCTATGCACACTGAGGGTTGGTGGTAAGTTTGAAGGGGAAAACTGTTGCGCCGTAAAAACACCTGGCGTTGGGTGCTTAACAAAGGAAATGCCGCAAAAAACCGTTTTGTTATTATTTTAAAGGTTACCTAGTCCATTTCCAGGGGTTCGCAAACAGAACCAGTTTCAGTACTGAGTGATGGGACACCAATGATAGCAGGCCTTTTTTTTTAGAAATCAAACATTTTTCGAACCAGACTTTAAAATATAAAGATTTAACAGCTATATACATAAAATAAACAAGAAAAAACAAATTTTTAAGTATGTAAAGTATGGTTTCATATATTTAGTCTTCTTACTTTATTAAAACCGGTTTGCTAAATTATTATTACCATGGTTACCACTGAGATGGTTAGTACTCGACATTATATAAAAACATTGAACAGCTGATTAATATTTACACATGGAATGAAATTCAAATTGTACATTTCTCAGGAGTCTTCGTCCGTATCTCTATTTTATTTAATCCTAATTAAAACACTCATAATTTTGTGTGTGATTTACTGTATAAATTGCAAAAGATCTTCTATGGTAACCCACCCTTATGGACAATAACTGTTATTATTAATATTATTTATTAGGTATTAAATAAAAAATATATTATACAAATAATTTATAAAATAATAATATAAAAATAATAAACAAAACGAACGAAATAAAAAAAAGAAGGAATTGAGTGTATTGAATCATTATACTAACTTGGACACCAAGTGAGAGTCAAAGTTTTCATTGATGAATATAAACCTATGATAATTCCCACCAATGCTTCATTTTTTTAGGGTTGACTCTATTCAACAATTAAATATATGTTTAAGATTCTATTTTAACAGAAGTTTTGCAACAAAACTTTTATAATAATTGAGAGCCACTTCCTGAGTCAAAATTGCATGATATGATTTATAAAATAAAATAAAGGAAATTAACATCCTATTACCTTAATAGGAATTTAGAACTACCTTAGTTCTAAAAAATGATGACGTTTCAAATTAGTGGCCAATTACTCATAGACAAATCATTGGAATGTTTTTCTTTTTCAAAACTTAAATCGCATAAACAAATATTCATGAAAAACACTGACGAGTTACATCCTTGCATGCTGAGACACATTCATCAAGTTAAGATTAATTACAGCAAAATACGAAGTAAGTGAATTAAAATTTTCTCAAATTATTAGCATTAAAAATCTAAGTAAAGAACGATAACAATTGATTTAATACAATTTCAAAGAAATTTTTAAATTTAATTGATACCTAATTAATAGGCACTTCGACTGGATATCAGAGAGGAGATCACCACCACTTCAATAATATCTTAGTGTACTGTTAAAGAAGCTTTTCATCTAATTTATCTTTTCACCCCAATAAAGAGGACCAATGTTTCTTTTTACATTTAGTTGTCTTTATTACTCTGAACTTTACAATCCTCTAAAACTTCATAATATACCAAAATAAAATATAATACCCCATACCTCCGAAAACCTTTTATTTCAATTATTACAAATTCGAGTCTGTCAAATTATGATGCTAATAGCTACAACTAGATACGATTTCTTATTGTATAATGTTCCTATCGTCAAGCAAAATCGGCCCACTAGAATCATGTATACAGAAAAAAAACACGACAAAGTAAAACTAATAATACTTTCTTAGCTACGCAACGAAGCTGAAGGAGTCACTAATATTTTTATATCACTATAATATTGACAATGGGGTAGAAAAATGTACTTATAACTTTTAGACGTTTATGTTTCTATTATTTTAAGGTTTTTAAAACGTATTCATCTACTCTTTTATTGAGTTATATTTGTAATATTATTTATTAAACATTGAGCACACCTTATAAAATGGGTTTATACATGTATTTATAGTTTTCTTTTTTTTATAAAAAAAACAATGTGTACAAAATGAACTTACAATAAGTTTTTTTTTTTTTGACATTTTATATTAAATAGCGTTAGTAAAGTCAAAGCAAGTCACTAATTAGTAACAGCTCAATTAATCATAGTTAAAGTTATATTTTAATATAGCTTTTTACACATAAATTATTCATGAAAATACATGTATTTTAATATGATTTATTTGTAAATCTTTGTTAAGAGTCTTAGCAAAGGGATATGCGAGTGTGAAGAGTTTTCAATGAAAAAAATGTATTAATCATGTATAATTATTATGATAGTTATAGACTGCAAACACAGAGTATATAATAATACAAGTTGTAGCTATATGAGTTATAGTCTAAAACACATGTGATAATAACAATATTTATTATATATATATATATATATATATATATGTGTGTATTATGGTATTTTAACAGGTACTTTTTATTTAAAAATGTCAAATTTTAATCTTATTTAATGTTTATTATGTCGAAATTGTTTAAATTAAAAGGCTTGTAAGTTAGTAAATAGTTATCCTGAAGTTATATCGACCCATCATTTTTTTTTTTTTGTAAAATAGTGACAATTTAAAATTATTTAGAAAATTTAAAAATTAATTATTTCTATTACTTTTCTTGTTTGAGACAAACCAAAAAATATATGTTTTTACGTAGCACAAAACTGTAAAAATTATTTTAAAAAATAAAAATTAACGCAATATAATTTTTTGATTAAAAGTTATTAAAGATGTCAGAATATGTTCGGAAATCCTGTATATTTAAAGATAAAGATAAATGAAAATATTTTTTTACAATTACTATTGCTATATGGTATAACTAGACTTAAGTAATTGTTTCATTGCATAGGTACAACTATGGAGGCAAGAAGCAGCTTAGCCTCCCAGCTGACAAACTGCATCACTTATACACTAACACTTTATAATGACTAGTATAATTATAAGTTTTATAATAATTCGTGGCTAAAAGAGAGTAATAACTATCATTTAATTACCACTACTTTTTGGTTGTTTTATGTTAATACCAAATCGATATACTATCTGTGTATAAAAAATACGTAAATGTATTTAACTGAAAAACATTTCATCTTATTCTAAAAAATGAATACAAGAGCGGAATTTCAAGAAAAATGACAGATGGACGTCAGCATTGTAGCAGCTGCTATTCGAAAGGTTTGTAAATGCAAAAATGTTCCTATTGTGATCATTCTAACACGATTAAAAGTTATATTGTAGTATTATCTATATGGCAGTACTGTTTCCAGAATATTTTTCTGGGGGGTCCAAAATATATTGTGTTTATATATTTTTAAAAAATTTCGGGGGGAGTCTGAACCAAATACGACTTTACTATGTATCGGTTGTTATAAAACTCAGGAATAGAGGATTATATAGTTCAATCAGCTTATAATCTATTAGCTAAGAATATTTTCTTTTGCTGTATTTAAAAAATATTGCGAAAAATTATTTTTTCTACTTCTAGTCAAATATATTATTATAAACATAAAAAACTCAGCACAGGGGGGTCGCGGCACAGTGGTGTCGTGGTATAGTTGGATCAAGTATAATGATATCTGACAGTGATTAAAATCACTATAAAAAAAAACGCTTCGATGCAAATCTTTAGATAGTGTTTAATTTTAAAAAATTGGTGGATTATACCAAAAGCAACATGATCTGCTAGTTCCTCATTAATATCTTGATTAAGATAAAGTATGTCGAATGAAAAACTGAATTGTAAATATTGAATAATAATTTCATTAAAATTAGTAATAGTATTAACGTGACAAAAATTATGTTATCATCTTATTACTCATATTACTGGGTATTAAAGGAAAATATTGTAAACTTTGATCACAATTAAACTATATGTCAATAAAAATATCTGGAACACACTAATGATACTGATTCCATAATTGAATTAAAAATAAAGTTAAAAAGACGGGTTAACGTGGTAACAAAATACACTCGCACATAGAATCTCTTAGAATCATTTTGTTTATCAACATCATCAGTGTGAATAGACACATTTTAAAAGAAGAAAAGAATACTCTTTATTTACAGAAAACTTATTCGAAGGTAAGCAAAATTGCTGGACATAAAATTTTAATATAAAGAATAAAATTATAGTAAATACTTTTGGTAAAACTGATTCTATATAGAGCAGATTTCGTTTAAGCTGTTATTTTACAGTATAATAAAATAGGAATTTTTTTACTATCTAATTACAAATTAAATTTTTACGATTCTCTCTAATGGAAACTATAATGGTTAGTTTAATAATACCTTCCTGGCTTAAATTTAGTGTATTTATTTATTAATGAGCAAGTGACTATTTTTCTTTACATAGATTTTTTTTTTGTTATCACAGGAAACACGTTATAAGTAATATTATGTTAAACGATATTTTACTTAAGTTTATTGATATCATATATTTTTGATTGCTTTTTAAAAAACATTTTTTTTTGAAGTTGTTCATAATGTTTTACTGGCCTGTTAATGTTAATAATTTTTTAGTTGTGTCACTATAATTTTCGATATATTAAGCTTAAATACATTACATTTTTTCTTGACACAACTGTTAACAGAATATAATTTAATTTTTTAAATAGATCTACAAATATACTAGCAATTTTAATTTTCTTTAATATTTTATAGCGTGTATTGCTATAATCGTGTACTTCAAAGTTAGTTTTCCGACAGTTGAATATTCAATAAAATTCCATCCTTTTATCATAGTTTTTTGAATGATAGAAGTATATTTTTCATGTAAATTTTTTGGTAAAATGTGATACATATTATCAACAGCTTTCATGGCACCTAAAACAAAAATTATATAATTTCAATACGCTTATTTTGTATTGAATGAGTCAGAATGATATCAAAATTTATGATATCAACTTTTGATCCAGCTTTTTAGTATAATAATTAAAATAATGTTGTAGAAAAATGTTGAAGGTATTGACTAATTTAAATTAATTTTTTTCAATCCTAAAACATATTTTTCTTCTTCTTCGTCGTGGTTTATCCCTTAAACCTTTAAGGGTTTAGGCCCTTATGACCTTATTGGCCTTCAGTATTCTCTTTCTAATGATATTTTCTTCAAATACTCTCCTAGTTTTACTTTTTCCTCTTTTATAGTGTCTTCCTATCTTAATCTTGGGCATCTCATTAGTCTTTCTACTTGTTATGCACTTTCTAACACTATTCTCAGCACCGAGTCTTCTTTTTTTTTTATATATTTTTATATAGTACAATATATATCATTTTTCCTAACTTAAATTTCATTTAATTAGGGTCGTCCACCCATATCCTAAACTTTGAAACCCTTCCTGTGGACTGGTAAAGGATCAAATGTTCACAAAAATATATTAAATGATACGTAAATACATATGGTATTTATAAAAAAGATATATTTTTTGTCATTTTTAAAAAAGTTATGTTAGTTTTAAGAAAAAAAAATTTTTAAAAATGTCAAAAATTACCGATTTTAAAATTGTAATTTGTTAGGGAATTTCCCCCGTTTGAAAGGAACGAGGGAATTTTTTTACAGCTTTTGAGGGTAATGTCTTTGACTAGATATAATTTGTGATCTTTTGACGTATTTTTCATCAAAATCGGTTTTTTTCCTCACCTTTATTCCAACTACTCTTATCCTAAACTTCTACTTGACACGATCACCCACATCATTTACGCTCACTTCAGCCGTCCTCATATCGCATTCAATAAAATCCCTTCATCTCTTTTTTTGTCTTCCTCTGCCTTCAATATTCATTTCTATAACTGTTCTTACAACTTCCGATTCCTCTCTCTCACAACATGACCAAACCATCTAAGTCTATTCTCTTTCATCTTATCCACGATTTACGCTACATCTTTACTCCCTCTTATATGTTCGTTTCTTATCCTATCTTCTCTAGTTACTCCATTTATCACTTTTACATAATAAAGTAAAATTGTCTAAATTTTAGGAGTAGTAGTTCATATTTTTCCTTTTCTACTTTTCTAAAAAAATGTCAGTCTATAATTCTACAATTACAATATAAAAAAACCCAGCACAGGGGGGTCGCGGCACAGTGGTGACGTGGCATAGTTGGATCAAGTAAATGATATCTGACAGTGATTAAAATCACTATCAAAAATAAACGCTTCGATGCAAATCTTTAGATAGTGTTTAATTTTAAAAAAATTGGTGTTTTATTCCAAAAGCTACTTGATCTGCTGGTTCCTTATTAATATCTCGATTAAGATAAAGTATGTCGAATGAAAAAGGGTTTATTAAAAAATATTATTTCTCATAAAAAAATTGTGTGGATCCATAAACTTTTCAATAAGTTATAGCATTATAAAGTTAAATATAATATAAATAATAAAATCGAGAATTTTCACACGAAAATAGCATTCGGTAGCCATTTTCGCCGTGAAGACAAGTCCAGAGGTCAAATTTTTTTTTTTCAAATTAAAGTATATTACATTAGCTTTAATTTAAGATATATATAAAAGTGTCAGACCTTCCGGAACATTTTAAAAAGTTATGTTGAAAAAGTAAATTTGTTGTGAAAAAGTTGTTATTTTAAATCCTCCCTTGTGGGCAGGTTATGTGTTAAATTTATAAAAAAAATATACCAAATGAAAGGTAATTATATTATGCATCTATATAAAAAATAATTATATTGATATGTTCATTTTTGAAAAAGTTACGGCAGTTTTTAGTAAAAAAAATTGAAAAAATTTCGAAAATTAGCGATTTTTAAATTTGTAATTTTTTTGGAGGTTTCCCCCATTTA